AAAAGAGATCATACCATACTGTCAATTGTTACAAGAGCCTGAGTGTACATATACCATGTATCATGATAAAGTCTCTAGAGACCCAAAATTAAAGGTGAAAAGAGAAATGAAAACTGGGAGAGATATGAGGCTTTTCCCTCAACTAATTTACTCTAATACTGTCTTTGCAGTACATGTGTTTAGAACAAAACAATGCTACAGTGAGCATCTAGGTGAAAACTGTTATCAGAGAGGCAACTCCAGAATAGACACATACAGTAAGCTCCTTGATGGAAAGACCTGCTAGTGAGAACTGACTCCTTCCCATATTCATCTATAAATTTAGAACAATTCTAATCAAAATCTCAATGGGATTTGTCTTAAAACTCATCAAAATAATTCTAAAATTCATCAGAAACAGTAAATTCACAAGAATAGCTAAGAAAAATTTGAAAATGAGCCTATTTGCCCTATCAGATATTAAACTTCTCTAAGAAGCCACAGGGGGTAGGACCCCAAGATGGCTGAATGAGAGGCAGCTCCAGAAAGCAGCTCCCAGCCAGAGACAGATGCAGAAATTGAGTGGTCTCCACAACTGCAAATGAGGTACCAGGTTCATTTTGTGGGTCTGGTTGGACAGTGGGTATAAAACAAATAGGGCAAGTTGAGGCAAGGCAGGGCACTGCCCCACCCACGAGGTGCATGCAACCAACTACAGGACCAGGGATCAAACCAAACAAATTTCTTAAAATAATTTCACTGTATAGATAGATACCAAGGAAGTTATTTACTCTTCTTATTAGCATATCTTATTTTTACCTATCCTTTAACAAGCATCTAAACGGTTTTGTGTCCACAGCTACACACTGAAACACTTTGTCACAATATATTAAATTCACATTGAAAACTATAAATAGATCCAGTTACCTTTAGTCTTACATGTACTTAAATATAGTTTGTTTTTTTTTTTTTTTTTTTTTTTTTTTGAGACGGAGTTTCGCTCTTGTTACCCAGGCTGGAGTGCAATGGCTCGATCTCGGCTCACCGCAACCTCTGCCTCCTGGGTTCAGGCAATTCTCCTGCCTCAGCCTCCTGAGTAGCTGGGATTACAGGCACGCGCCACCATGCCCAGCTAATTTTTTGTATTTTTAGTAGAGACGGGGTTTCACCATGTTGACCAGGATGGTCTCGATCTCTCGACCTCGTGATCCACCCGCCTCGGCCTCCCAAAGTGCGGGGATTACAGGCTTGAGCCACCGCGCCCGGCCAAACTTATATATAGTTTTAATATACTTCTTGCTGTTTTATGATGCACAAACACGAGGTTTTTTTTTTTTTTAGATGAAATTTCGCTCCTGTTACCCAGGCTGGAGGGCAATGGTGGAATCTTGGCTCACTGCAACCTCCGCCTGCTGGGTTCAGGCAATTCTCCTGCCTCAGCCTCCTGAGTAGCTGGGAATACAGACACAAGCCACCATGCCCAGCTGATTTTTTGTATTTTTAGTAGAGACAGGGTTTCACCATGTTGACCAGGATGGTCTCGATCTCTTAACCTTGTCATCGGCCGGGCGCGGTGGCTCAAGCTTGTAATCCCAGCACTTTGGGAGGCCGAGGCAGGTGGATCACGAGGTCGAGAGATCGAGACCATCCTGGTCAACATGGTGAAACCCCGTCTCTACTAAAAATACAAAAAATTAGCTGGGCGTGGTGGCGCGTGCCTGTAATCCCAGTTACTCAGGAGGCTGAGGCAGGAGAATTGCCTGAACCCAGCAGGCGGAGGTTGCAGTGAGCCGAGATCGCGCCATTGCACTCCAGCCTGGGTAACAAGAGCGAAACTCCGTCTCAAAAAAAAAAAAAAAAAAAAAAAAAAAACCTTGTCATCCACCTGCCTCGGCCTCCCAAAGTGCTGGGATTACAGGCATGAGCCACCACGCCCGGCCCAAACACGAGCTTTTGCAGGATATATAACTATGAGAATATTTAGAGGGTATGCTTATTAAATGGTTCAAAACTCTCTTTTTTAAAGAAAATCAATTTTAAGAACCTAAGCATAAAGTACTCCTTCCATGCCCCAATGTTAAAAGATCCATTTATTTTAGACTACTTGTTTAAAAAAAAAAAAACTAAAATTGATAATTCTGCTTAAATTGCATATTAACCTAGGATCAAAAGTTTTTATTTCTTCTTGTTTCTTAAATACTTGAAATGTGCTGCTGCATGTTTTCTGTATATATTTGTTCATTCAACTAACTTCAGGTGGAAGGTACTTATGAGTTTAAAAGTCCTTTCCCAAAGTGGAAATAACATAAAAATTTTGCATAATGTTTCTCAAAGGGTATTGTGTAGGGCTGAGGGCCCACAGGGTCGTGGGGTGTGCCTTATGCTCTGCTGAGGCACGGGATCCAAGAAACAAAGAGACAGGACACAGAAGTACAAGGAAAATGCAGCTGGGCTTGAGGGGCCACACCACCTGTGAACGGAGTCAGGTGAGGCCCCGAATGTCCAGAAGCATGTGTATTTATTCTTTATAGGTTAGGGGCCAGGGCAGTGAGTGAAATCATCTTTAAGCATAGTGATAGGGTCATGAGCAATAAACAAGGGGTCCACCCCCATTAGGTCACCTAGGCTAGGAGGGGGCAGTGCGCAGCAAGGAGTCCATTCCCATTAGGTCATCTAGGCAAGGGCCATGTGCAGTTAAGGGGTCCACCCCCTTTGGTCACCGAGGCATGGAGGTGGGCCATGCACAGTGAAGAGGATGTAGTGTGCAATACCTCTATCTATGGGCAACCTATTTCTAAGAAGATTTAGGGGGGATGCTTTAAGTCACATAGCAGTGACAGAGCTGTCAGGGTCTACACCACCTGCTGGCGGCTTCCAATGAGTTCTACAGGAAGATGCTTTTCGAGCAGCAAGCACAGCAAAAAGAGCTGATAAAGTTCACAGTCACGAAGGTGCGACTGCCAGTCTGAGGACAGCCTTCCACAAGAACTGGAGCAAGGTCCTACAACTCCTTTATCAGGAGGATTGGCTCTTGCCCCAGGCCTGCCATATAGCGGGTATCTTTACAATACTAAACGCTGCCTCCTGGGCCATGGATTCTTGTCCTGGTATAACTGTTTTCCCTTAAATCATGCTCTGCACTGCGTCTGCTCCAGACATTCCTCCGATTATAAGCTGCTTATTCCTTACTTCATGCTCTGTACTGTGTCTACTCTAGGCATTCCTCTGATTATGAACTAAGATATAGTTATATATAAGGAAATAACAATGGTAAGATATTCTTTAGGTACTCATTCTAAGAACTAATATATGATTATATATAGAGGATTGTATAAAGGGAAATAACTGAATAGTAACACTATAAACTGAGATATTCGCCAAGCCCTAATTCTATAATCTAATATATGATTATATAAAGGATTATGTAAAAGGAAATAACTGAGATATTCTTCAGGCCTTAATTGTGCCAGGATTCTGCTTAGCTCTCCTTCTTCAGTACCTATATGTGGGTTTACCCACGTATCTGAGAGTCTAATCTGAGAGTCTAATCAGTCTATTAAACTTGGTTCTGAATAACCACCACCAACAAATGTGAGCTTTCTGTCACATCTATGTATTTTCCCCTGTAAACTAATACCTACATTTTAAATGCATTTTCAAAATGTTTCATTTGGCCATGTGATAATTATTTCCCCTGTAAAAAGCTACAGGATTTTGGTTTAAGAGCAAATGAAACAGAGTATCTGGTCCATGAGAAGGCTCAGTGGAAAGATCCGCACCCTGAAGTTTGTGACCAACAACAGGACAAACCCCAATGCTACCTTGTTCATGTAATCAACACTATGTGAGTCCAAAGAAACTAGTGAGCTATACATTTCTGTCTACATACCAGTTTACCAATCAACAGCAGGGGAAGAAATTGCTCAAACGTGACTGTTAACAAACATGTTAACAAACGTCTAAATATTAGACAGTCTCTGTTAAAATCATAAGCTACCAATTCTGAAATCATTCCTTCGACTTCTGTTTTTAATCCTCCCCAAAAAACAAACAAACAAAACAGCAGCCACCTTTAAAATGTAAATTCCTCCCTTTTTCAAAGTAACTTGCCTAGGAAAATTTAATGCGTTAAAATAAAACGTAACAGACCAATTACGACATTTAAAAAAAAAACTAAAATTATAAATAACAAACCAATCGCTCAAATTTAGCAAAGCATGTGTTTTTAATCTGTTGTGGGTATCCTATTACACTAATAAGCAACAACGTTTAAGTCATCCCAATGCCTAACACACCACCATACACATACTTGTCCTTTACTCTGATGAAACTTAAACTCAGATCCAAACTCAGACCATTTCACCCTCCTGGCACACTGAAATATATGAGGGGAAATTAAAAAAAAAAAAAATCGGTTATGTTAAGTGCCGGTATCTTCTTCCAGAGTAGGGTCAAATTCGTGTTTGCCCGCAAATGTCACTGTCCCAGGAAGTCCGCAAATTCTCACTAGAGCTGGAGTACAAAGAGGCCCGACCACAGAAACACCTGTCCCAGCACCGGGAAGACACTGGGAAACGCAAGCCCCGTGAGTCTGATGGGAGGACAAGAGGTGGCCGCTGGCCTCGCGGGGGAGGCGGACAGGGGCCCACCTCCCGAGAACCAGGAAACCTGTCGGGCTGGCCGGGACCCACCCTCGTCAGACCTTCGCGCTCCAGCCCAGAGCGGCCCCCGCCCGACCGCCCCCCACCGTCCCGGCCTCCCGGCTGCATTCCGTCACCTCGTCCCTCCCCGGCGGCCTCGAGGCCCCGCCACCTTCACCGCTCAGCCTGGGCTCGGACCGCCCATGGGGCAGGAGCGCCCAGCCGCTGCCCCCCACCTGGCCCCGGCCTCGACCCCGTCCGTTCCCCCGCGGCCCGGTCCCCGCCGCCCCCAGGCCCGAGCTCCCGGCTCGAGCTCCCCACCCCAGGCCCCAGTCCTCGCCCCGCGCGGCGGCTCCCAGCTCACTCCCCAACGCCGGCTACCTGGAGGCAAAGGTGGCGGAGCACTTCGCTCAGGGCCCCAGGTTGCAGAAGGCCGGGTGCTTGGCGTCCCGCTCCTTCTCCCGCTCCGCCGCCACCGCAGCCGCCAAGCTCAGTCGCTTGCTTCGCCCCGCCCCTACAGGCGCGCAGCGCAAGCGCCGGGAAAGGAGTGAGGCTGTCGGAGCCGGAAAGGCACCCGCGGACGCGGAAAGAGGGGGCGGAGCACGCAACCGCGAGGGAGGCCGGATTGGCCAGCGGAGACTCCGGCGGCGCGGCGCGGCGTGCGTGAAGGGCGGGCCCGGGGTGAGGGGCGGGTCCGGGCGGGAGGGGCGGGCCCGGGCGGGAGGGGCGGGCCCGGGCGGGAGGGGCGGGCCCGGGCGGGAGGGGCGGGCCCGGGCGGGAGGGACTTAGGGGAGCCTTTGCCAGGAACACGTTGCAAGCATCCCACTGTGGGTCACTGGGTGAGCTCTCGGCCGGCCCCTCCCTCTGGGGATGGCGATCAGTTGCCATCCTTTTTCCCTTTTTCCTCGTTATCAATTGGTATTTCTTACCTAATCCAAATCGCCCTGGCCAGTGCTTGGGGCTCCTGAGCTACCCTCTTATGACCTCATCTTCCCACCACCTCCTCCTGGAAATTTGTGTTCAACCTGTGCAAAACTTTTTTTTTTTTTTTAATGTGCAAAACTATGTTTTAAATGTAAAAACTATTTTTAAAAAATGATTTATGGGCTGGGCATGGTGGCTCACGCCTGCAATCCCAACACTTTGGTAGGTCAAGGCAGGTGGATCACTTGAGGTCAGGAGTTTGAGACTAGCCTGGCCTACGTGGTAAACCCCCGTTTCTACTAAAAATAAAAATAAAAAAGTAGCCAGGCATGGTGGTGCGCGCCTGTAATCCCAGCTACTTGGGAGGCTGAGGCACGAGAATCACTTGAACCCAGGAGGCGGAGGTTGCGGTGAGCCGAGAAAGCGCCACTGCACTCCATCCTGGGCCACAGAGTGAGTATCAAAAAAAAAAAAAAAAAAGAGAGACAAATTTACGAATGCTTTGCTTTTCTGTAAGCTGAATTTGAGGTGGCTTACCATAATTCATATCATATAGAAAAATATAAATGAGCTAATAAAATCAGTATGAAGAAAAGGAAAAGTCAGACCCAGATTCGGTGGCTCACGCCTATAATCCCAGCACTTTGGGAGTCCGAGGCAGGCGGATCACCTGAGGTCAGGAGTTCAAGATCAGTCTAACCAACATGGAGAAACCCTGTGTCTACTAAAAATATAAAATTAATCCGGCGTGGTGGCTCATGACTCTCATCCCAGCTGCTACTCGGAAGGCTGAGGCAGGAGAATCCCTTGAACCTGGGAGGTGGAGTTTGCGGTGAGCAGAGATCACACCACTGCACTCCAGCCTGGGCAACAAGAGCAAAACTCCGTCTTGTTTCAAAAAAAAAAAAAAAAAAGAGAGAAAAGGAATAAAATGAAAGGCCAGGAATAAGAATACAGATAAGCAGGTCCTAGGGGCTAACACAGTTATTAAAATTGGGTCATACATTTGACACTGAACTTCCTGGTGATCAAAACTAAAAGGAGAAAACATGTATGTGGTTTTCTCACTGTCTCTAATAAGAAACACAGTGTTCTTGGAGACTCTCAGTGTTTCCCTGGTTGCAGCTTTCAATATTTTAGGGCTTTATATAATGATTTTGAGTAATAAGCAATATCCTTGTATTCGTTACCTATTGTTGGGTAAAAATTGCCCCAAATTTAGCAGCTTAACAAACAATACACTTCTTTTTCCTCACAGTTTCAATGGGCTTGGAATCTGGGTGAGGTTAGCTGTGTCCTCTGGCCCAGGCTCTCACAAGGATACAATCAAGCTGTCAGCCAGGGCTGCAGCTCTCTCAGGGCTTCACAACCCTCTTTCAAACTCACTTCCATGGCCGCTGGCAGGCCTCAGGTCTTCTCTGTCTGTTGACTGGAGACCTCAGTTCCTGTCTGCCCGCACCTCTTCATAAGAAGCAGCTGGCTTGCCTCAGGGCTAGGGAGGAGAAAGAGGAAGAGAGAGAAAAACAAAATGAGAGAGAGATCACAGTCCCTTTTTGTAACCTAATCCCAGAAGTGACATCCCATCACATTCATGTATTCTATTGCTACTTAGAAAATAGCACCTAGGTCCAGCAAGGCATGATGGCTCACACCTGTAATACCAGAATTTTAGGAGGCCAAGGTGGGTGGATCACCTGAAGTCAGGAGTTCAAGACCAGTCTGACCAGTATGGTGAAACACCATCTCAACTAAAAATACAAAAATTAGCTGAACATAGTGGAACACGCTTGTAATCCCAGCCACTTGGGAAGCTGAGGCAGGAGAATCGCTTAAACCTGGGCGGTGGAGGTTGAAGTGGGTTGAAATTGCACCATTGCACTTCAGCCTGGCCTAGAAGGCGAAACTCCATCTCAAAAAAAAAAAAAAAGAAAGAAAGAAAGAAAGAAAAGAAAAGAGTTCCAATAGTCCCTAGGTCCAGCCCATGCTCAAAGGGAGAGGATTATGCAGGACATGAATATGATGAGTCTGTTTACCACAGTCCTCAAAAACATCCTCACTCAGCCCTCTCGCAACATTTTGAGAGGCTGAAGCAGTATTGCTTGAGGCCAGCAGTTCGAGACCAGCCTGAGCAACATAGGGAGCTCTAGTCTCTGTAAAAATATATACAAAATTAGCCGGGTATGGTGGTTCATGCCTGTTGTTCCAGCTACTTGGGGAGGACTGATTGAGCCCAGGGGTTTTTGGACAGGGGTGTGGGTTGAGGCTGCAATGAGCCGACATTGCCCCACTACGCTCCCACCTAGATGACAGAGTAAGACCCTGATTCAAAAAAAAAATCCTCACTCTGCATCCCTAATGATTTTGAATGAATGAATGGACACTCAAAAAATGTTAGCTGTTAGTATCTCTGCACAATTATAGGCCTACAGCAAATATCTTTTCCCAAATAAAAAGGAAGCCCTCACCACAGAGATTATTTCATCACTCCCGAAAAAAAAAAAGATGAAAACTTTTAAAAGAGTGTTTTGTAGACTGGGCATTATCCCAGCACTTTGGGAGACCAAGGCAGGCAGATCACCTGGGGACAGGAGTTCAAGACCAGCCTGACTAACATGGAGAAACCCCATCTCTATTAAAAATGCAAAATTAGCTGGGTGTGGGAGCGCATTCCTGTAATTCCAGCTACTTAAGGAGCTGAGGCAGGAAAATTGCTTGAAACCGGGAGGTGGAGTTTTCAGTGAGCCGAGATTGTGCCACTGCACTCCAGCCTGGGCAGCAAGAGGTGAAACTCCATCTCAAAAAAAAAAAAAAAAAGTATGTTTTGTTGTGGAGCACAGTGGCTCATGCCGGTAATCCCAATGCTTTGGGAGGCCAATGTGGGAGGATCACTTGAGGCCAGGAATTACAAACCAGCCTGGGCAACATAGCAAGACTCTATCTCTACAAAAAATAGAAATACAAAATTAGCCAGGCATGGTGGCACACACTGTAGCCCTAGCTATTCAGGAAGCTGGGGCAGAAGGATTGCTTGAGCCCAGGAGTTAAAGGCTACAGTGAGCTATGATCGAGCCACTGCACTCCAGCCTGGGCCACAGAGAAACACACTATCTCTAAAAAAAAAAAATTAGCCAGGCACGGTGGTGTGTACCTGTAGTCCCAGCTACTCAGGAGGCTGAGGTGAGGATTGCTTGAACCCAGGAAGTCAAGGCTACAGTGAGCCATGATCACACCACTGCACTGCAGCCTGGGTGACAGAGTGAGACTCTGTCTCAAAAATAATAATAAATAAAAGTTGAATTTTTTTTTTCTTTTTGAGACAGAGTCGTGCTCTGTCACCCAGGCTGGAGTGCAATGACATAATCTTGTCAGAAACCAATCAGGTATGGTGGCAAGTGCCTGTGGTCTCAGCTACTCAGGAGGCTGAGGTGGGGGAATCACATGAGCCTGGGGAGGTGAGACCCTGTCAAAGAGAAAGAGGAGGAGGGGGAGGAACAGGAAGAAAAAGAAGGAGAAGCAGCAGCAGGAGGAGGAGAAAGAGGAGGAAGAAGAAGAGAAGGAGAAAGAGGAAGAAGTAGAAGAAGGAGGAGGAGGAAGAGGAGGAGGAAGAAGAGAAGGAGGAAGAGGAAAAAGTAGAAGAAGGAGGAGGAAGTGAGACTCCATCCCAAGTAGCCTGTAATCCCAGCTACTTGGGAGGCTGAAGTAGGAGCATTGCTTGAACCAGGACCCGGGAGACAAAGGTTGCAGTGAGCTGAGATTGCACCACTGCACTCCAGCCTGGGCTACAGAGCAAGACTCCATCTCAAAAAAAAAAAAAAAAAAAAAAAATTGAAAACAGCTGCTGTATGTCCAATATCATCTAAACCTGCCTCAGCTTTCTGAGTAGCTTGGATTACAGTCATGCGCTACCGTGGGTGGCTAATTTTTGTATTTTTTGTAGAGAGAGGGTGTTGCCACATTGCCCGGGCTGGTCTTGAACTCTTGAGCTCTTGAGTTTCACCATGTTGCCCAGTCTTCCATTTCTTCTTCCTCCTTCTTCTTCTACTTCTTCCTCTTTCTCCTTCTCTTCTTCTTCCTCCTCTTCCTCCTCCTCCTGCTGCTGCTGCTTCTTTTTCTTCCTGTTCCTCCCCCTCCTCCTCTTTCTCTTTGACAGGGTCTCACCTCCCCAGGCTCATGCGATTCCCCCACCTCAACCTCCAGAGTAGGTGAGACCACAGGCACTTGCCACCATACCTGATTGGTTTCTTTTACTTTTCTTTTTTCTTTTTTTTTGAGATGGAGTTTCTCCCTGTTGCCCAGGTAAGAGTGAATTTTATTTTGATATGTATAGGATCTATACCTCTGCTCTTTCCATTTCTTCTTCTTCTTCTTTTTTTTTTTTTTTTTTTGAGACAGAGTTTCGCTCTTGTTATCCAGGCTGGAGTGCAATGGCGCGATCTCGGCTCACCGCAACCTCCGCCTCCTGGGTTCAGGCAATTCTCCTGCCTCAGCCTCCTGAGTAGCTGGGATTACAGGCACGCGCCACCATGCCCAGCTAATTTTTTGTATTTTTAGTAGAGATGGGGTTTCACCATGTTGACCAGGATGGTCTCGATCTCTTGACCTCCTGATCCACCCGCCTCGGCCTCCCAAAGTGCTGGGATTACAG